ATAAACTGAAGTGTGTTTGAGGTTTGAACAGTTTATTTTGAATCTCCAGCCGGAGACGGTGGACGAGCAGTTGTTTCTGACGGCAGCGATGGAGAACAAGCTGCCTGTGGTGGAGAAGTTCCTCAGTGACGGAGGAGACCCCAACGCATGCGACCACGTGAGTGTCACACCGCGATGTCACCTCTGCGTCCGGACACGTTAATGATCGGACACATGATCAAACCGTCATACAAACATACCTGAGGAGCAGCTGATTGTATGAACAGGAACAATCATGAGATTTTATTTTGTTACTGATTCAACGTGTGTGTGACCAGTTCCAGAGAACAGCTCTGCACAAAGCTGCGTTCAGAGGAAACATGGAGGTGCTGAAGAGCCTCCTGGAGGCCGGAGCTGCCATCGAGAGAAAAGACAAGGTGAGAGGAGGAGGAACACACACACACACACACACACACACACACACACACACACACACACACACACACACTGAACTGTTAGACTGATGATGATGTGTGTGTGTTGCAGCTGGAGGCCACAGCGCTGCACTGGGCCTGCAGAGGGGGAAGTCTGCCGGCCCTGCAGCTCCTCCTCCACCAGGGGGCAAAGGTCACGTCCAGAGACAAGGTCAGTCTGCAGAGAGGTCACTACAGGTCACCTCATGAGAGAGGTCACTACAGGTCATCTCATGAGAGAGGTCACTACAGGTCATCTCATGAGAGAGGTCACTACAGGTCATCTCATGAGAGAGGTCACTACAGGTCATCTCATGAGAGGTCGCCTCAGTGAACTTTAACAGAAACATGTGTGTCCTCAGCTGCACAGCACTCCTCTCCATGTCGCTGTGAGGACGGGACACTGTGAATGTGCTGAACATCTCATTCACTGTGGAGCAGACGTCAACGCCAGAGACCGAGTAAGAACCCGTTTCCTCAAGTTCAACCAGGGGCCAACAGGAAACACTCAGAGTTTGAGGATTCTTTGTGAAATCAGAGCATCATTTGATTTACCTGTTTACAACTTTATCACCTGACAAACAGCTCCTCGTTCCAAATGACACAAACTAGAGTTTCAGTAGAAAACCAATGATACGTATGATACAATGATATATTACACATCACAATATATATATATATAACACACACTACACACTCAACACACACTACACACACTACACAGAAACCACACTGACTTCCTGTGTCCCTCCCACGCTGAAGGACGGAGACACGCCCATGCACGACGCTGTGAGAATCAACAGATTCAAGATGATCAAGCTGCTGATGATGTACGGGGCCAGTCTCAACACCAAGAACAGTGTAAGTGACACAGTCAGCCACTAGGGGGCGATCAAGTTGTTTTGAGCTGTCATGTCGTCCATCACAGTTCAGACTTCAAGCTCGTCTCAGATGTTCATCACTGTGATGCATCAAATGAAAACCAGGCTTTCATCTGCACACGTGAATACAAAGAACAAAAGTATTTTATGTCTCCTGCGCAGGACGGAAAAACCCCACTGGAGACGCTGTACTCGTGGCAGAACGGAGCCAAGAGTCTCCTGTGTAACTTCGATGAGGAGAAACTCAGCAGGAACTCCCCCTGAGGTCGAGACCACGGAACAAGAGAAAAAGGAAAAGTGGTAGAACCTCTGATCATTCTATCATTTGTCTTGTCTTAGCGTGCGTCCGTCCACTGAGGAGCTGCAGACTCCAAACTCTGGCAGACATTAACCTCAGGTCATATTCAGGTGCTGCAGGAGCTCATCACTAACAGAACATTTGTCTTTAACTTCGCTCCGGGTTCAGGGATTTGAATCAGTAACCAGGCGACTGTCACGTTAGAGAAGAACTTTCCTAGAAGCAGCAGCAGGGACTTGAAGGATCAGTAATGTGAAATCTAATCGGCGTGTTTTATTGATAATGTGATTATTAACACTGATGGAGTCACTGAACGCCAAATATTGCTGGACAATGTCTCGGCCGACAACGTGAAGATGCTTTTGTTTGAACTTTTCTTCATTTGAACTTTAAGCTGAGTTGACGTCAGCGATGCTGCATCGAGAAGATGATTATTTATTGATTATTGGAAACTGACTGTGATCAGTTTACTGGCTTTGATTGATTTCGACACTTACACTTAATAAGTGAGTGATTAGAAGTGAATTATTTGTGTCGTGGTATTGAAACGTTCAGACGAGTTGTCTGACTTGTTGAGAAGTGAGAGGATGAAGCAGGTGTTTGGATCTAGATGAGAAGAATGTCTCCACCCACACATTTACAGAACAAACAGGAAGCTAGGACAGAGCTGCAGCGACGTACATTAAGTCCTTCATCAGATCTCGTGTTTTGAATCTCGTTCATATCGACATCTGCACGTTTCCAGTTCCACTCCGTCTCTTTCGCTCGTCTTGCTCTTGTTTAACTTTTCACTCTGAAGTTTTTGTTCCACTTTATTATTTCAAATGTCACACAGTCAATTTTCTAACGTTGGATCTAATTCAGCTCAAACCTTCAGCATCAGTTTTGCTTGTGTTTGTAAGTTTGGACAAAACGAACTTTGGACAAAGTTCATCCAGATCACTTTGAGCGTCGGGGTCAGAGGTCACCTGAGCTGTCTCTCACCTCTTCTGTGTGTGAGAGGGGAGAAAGTGAAAGTCCCAGTTGGTTCTGAGGATGTCTGAAGAAGGTTATGTGAAGTGAATGCGTCCTGAGAGATGATTAATAATCAGATTCATTTTTTATTGTAACAGATGAATGTAAACTTTGCTTTGTAATTATGGATGAACTGAATTAAAGATATTTTGAATCTAATGTGATCTAACTGTGTCGACCAATCAAACGCATTCACACTCTGATGAAGTTAACGTCCCTCACAGAGAAAAGTCTTATAAAGTTACTGATAGAATGTTCAGTCGTGTGATGAACACACAGTTTCTGAAGGTTTCAACAAGTTCAATGCAAAAACCTTTAAGACCAGAATGATGAAATTTCAGACAAACATCTGTATCACTGAGGAACATTAGAAATTACACATGGCACCAAAATAGTTCTCTTGAATTTAGTCTTTAAAGGTTCAGTGTGTAGAATTTAGTGACATCTAGTGTTGAAGTGTCATGTTGCAGCTGAACACGCTTCCCCTCCATCTCTCCTTCCAAACATGAAGAAGAACCTGTGGCAGCTTCAGCTGTATGAACTCAAAAGGTTTTAGTTTGCCCAGCCTGTTCACCCTTCAGCCTGTTCACCCTCCAG